CCCTGTCACCCAGGCTGGAGTGCAGTGGCGCTATCATGGCTCACTGCAGCCTCAACCCTCTAGGCTCAAGTGATCCTCTCACCTCAGCCTCCCAAGCAGCTAGGACTATAGGCGCACACCGACAAGGCCAGCTAATTTATTTATTTATTTATTTGAGACTGAGTCTCACTCTGTCACCCAGGCTGGAGTGCAGTGGCGCAATCATGGCCCACTGTAACCTCCACCTCTAGGATTCAAGTGATCCTCCTGCCTCAATCTCCTGAGTAGCTGGGACTACAGGCATGCACCACCATAACTTGGCTAATTTATTTATTTATTTTTGAGACAGAGCCTTGCCCTGTCACCCAGGCTGGAGTGCAGTGGCACGATCTTGGCTCACTGCAATGTCCGACTCCCAGATTCAAGCAGTTCTCCCTGCCTCAGCCTCCAGAGTAGCTGTGAAGCCTTCTACCACGCCCAGCTAATTTTGTTTTTTTGTTTGTTTGGGTTTTTTTTTTTGACACAGAGTTTTGCTCTTGTTCCCCAGGCTGGACTATTCTCCTGCCTCAGCCTCCCAAGTAGCTGGGATTATAGGCATGCACCACCATGCCCAGCTAATTTTTCTATCTTTAGTAGAGACAGGGTTTCACCATGTTTATCGGGCTGGTCTTGAACTCCTGACCTCAGGTGATCCACCTGCCTCAGCCTCCCAAAGTGCTAGGATTTAAGTGTGAGCCACCATGCCCAGCCCCACATTATATATAATACACACACACACACACACACACACACACACACACACACATATTTTTATTTATTTATTAATTTTGAGGCAGAGTCTTGCTCTGTCACCAGGCTGGAGTGCAGTGGTGTGATCTTGGCTTACTGCAACCTCCATCTCCTGGGTTCAAGCTATTCCCTTGCCTCAGCCTCCTGAGTAGCTAGGACTATAGGACACATGCCACCTATGCCCAGCTCATTTTTTTTTTTTTTTTTGTATTTTAATAGAGACAGGGTTTCACCATGGCCAAGATGGTCTTGATCTCCTGATCTCGTGATTCACCCGCCTTGGCTATCCAAACGTGTTGGGATTATAGGCATGAGCCACCGTATCCAGCTGATATACTTTTTATGAAGAGGTATTTCATGCTTAAAATAAAAAATGCAAATGGATTTTTTAAAGCCCTGTCTTGCAAAACCCAAACAAGCAAATGATTCTGATCGTCTTGATAATCCCCTCTTAATGTCTAACTGCCAAAATAAAAGAGACAGACAGAAAAAAGGATGACACGTGGGCAGAGGCCTGACTTTAGTATGACGACACCCTCCATCTGGCACCAGTGGTGAGAAATTGGACAACTGGAGAGTGTCTCGAAACAGCTTCCCAGACAGATTTAACATCTGACTCGTCTCAATCTCTCATGATGCCCTCATTTTTCTTTTCATAGACCCAAGTGAAAAAAAAAAAAAATCAGCAACAGCTAAACGGTTCTTTTAGCAATTGTTCCTGTCAAGGTACCTTGAGCCAAAATCTCAGCACCACCACTGCTCCCTGCCATAGGGACAAGCTTCTCAGAGCAGGAACTAAAAAAAAAAAAAATTAACAGAAAAACAGGGTCTTGCTCTGTTGCTCAGGCTGGAGTGCAGTGGCGCAATCATAGCTCACTGCAGCATTGAACTCCTGGGCTCAAGTGGTCCTCCCACCTTAGCCTCCCGAGTAGCCGAGACCATTTGCGCACGCCACCATGCCCGGCTAATTTTTAAATTTTTTGAATAGAGATGGGGTTTCACCATGTTACCCAAGCTGGTCTCAAACTCCTGGGCTCAAGCAATACTCCTGCCTTATCCACCTTAAGTGTTGAGTGTTGTGAACCACTGTGTCCAGCCCCAAATATTTCTTGAACTTTAGTCTGACTGGCAGAGAAATAAGTCTAATGTTTAATCCCTACCCTACAAGCCAGAATACCTAAGAGAGGTATAGGAATCAAGGAGTGATGTTCAAAAGAACCTCCCGTGCTGTTTTTTCACCTGTCAGATGGGACAGACCACCAAACTTGATAATAAAATAACTGAGCTGGCCGTAGGAGAGGAATAATCAGACTTTCCAACTTCACAGTTCAGAGGAGGAGGAAGGACATGAACTATTTACAAGAATATGCCCTTTGAACTTGGCCCCCCCCTTTTTTTTTGAGACAGTGTCTAGCTGTCACCCAGGCTGGAGTGGAGTGCAGCGGCATGATTATAGCTCACTGCAGCCTTGAACTCCTCGGTTCAAGCGACCCTCCCACTTTAGCCTCCTGAGCAACAGGGACTACAGGCACGCACAGCAAAACAAGGAGGTCCGAAGTGTCTGTGCCTGGCTGGAGCCCGAATACATCCACTGTATATTTGGTATGTGCTGATGCATGCATCTATCCACTGCAGCTCCATTGTAAAAGCCAATTATGGGCTGTAGCTTAAACAGCCATCAGTAAGAAACTGGCAATAGAATGTATATGTCTGTTCAATGCAAATTTCCCAGTGGTTTAGAAGGGGTGGAGGGATATATACCACCCCACACCCTTTTCTGCCACCCAAGTCATAGACTACCTCTGGAAGAAAACAGAAGAAATTATCAACAGCAGGTGCATCTGAGGAGGAACGCAGTACAGGTTGGGGAAGACCTGCCTGATTTCTACTACATGACCTTTGTCCCATATGATTTTTTCTTTTTAACGATATAATAGGCCAGGCATGGTGGCTCACACCTGTAATCCCAGTACTTTGGGAAGCTGAGGTGGGCAGATCACTTGGGGTCAGGAGTGCAAGATCAGCCTGGCCAGCATGGTGAAACCTGATCTCTGCTAAAAATACAAGAAAATTAGACGGGCGTGGTGGCAGGCACCTGTAATCTCAGCTACTTGGGAGGCTGAGGCAGGAGAATTGCTTGAACCCGGGGGGCGGAGGCTGCAGTGAGCCGAGATGGTACCACTGCACTCCAGCCCGGGCAACAGAGTGAGACTCAGCCTCAATAAAAAAAAAAAAAAAATTAGCGAGGCATGGTGACGCATGCCTGTAATCTCAGCTAGCTACTCGGGAGGCTGAAGTAGGAGAACTGCATGACCCCCGGAGGTGGAGGTTGCCATGAGCCGAGATTGCGCCACTGCACTCCAGCCTGGGTGGCAGAGTGAGACTCCATCTCAAAAACAACCCCCAAAACTATATAATCAATGATCTCATCAAAGTTTACACACATGTACATATATAACACATGAAATATATGCATATAAAATATGTACATAAACATATGCATATAGGTACATTTACATATGTGTACAACACACACCCACACGCACATACATATATACAAACATACATGCCCATATATGTTTTAAATGACCCCTATTGAAGTTGGATAGAAAACCCAAATGGCTTCAGTTTCCACAGGAGAAGCTGAAGGTGAAATGACCCTCTGGAACATTCTGGCACCATCTTGGTAGGGAGAGGTGGGGGTGGAGGGGTAAGAAATGCTGTGCAAGCCTTCCAGGAAATGGCACGTTATTACTTTTCAACAGCAAAGCCACCGGCCTCCTTCTATGCTGCATGCTTGCAAATCAGACTCAACAGAACTTGAAAAGTTCCAGAAGAATCATTCCTAGCACCACGCCAGGCTCCAGTTTTCCAGGTTAGCTTTAAGCAGCTGAAACATCAGCTTGCCTCACTCTAAAGAGTGTTTCCTTACTGTTTATCGGCTTCAAGGGCCCAAGGAGTGTCGGAGAGGAATCCCCAGCAGCTCCCTCTCCGGCATCTGGCGGGAGGCACCCCAGACGATGACCACCCCCCTCCGGCAGCGTCTCCGTCTCCACCGCCCGCCCGCCCCAGTACTCAGAGAACATGCTTGGCAGAGGGACGGTCCCTTCCAGCTAAGCCTTTCCGGACCCAGTCAAAGTCACGACTCCTGAAAACAGCCTGAGGGGGTGGAGTGTGGTTCCCCTCCCCTGCCAATCCCTCTGAGATAAATACAACAGATGGGCCCAAATGGGGTGGGTCCACAGCAGAGGGTCAGCGATGCCCAGGATGGAATAGGCTCTGCCTCTAGCATTCAAGTGGTTTAGGTTTGTGGCTGGTAAAATGGAGATGATTCCGGTTTTGTCTGACCGATGGGATTATTCTAAGGTCCGGAAATCACTTTACACACTGTCAATCACTGGTAGAAATGAACACTGGGGTAAGCTTTTGTTTGGGGAGGGGAGGGTGCAGAGATCCTGAGATGCCAAGGCTTGGGGGACTTTTGGAGGACATGGGAGATTCGGGGGGATTCTTACAGGGGGGCGCGCGAATACAGGTGCACGTGGGAGAAAGCCCAAGGTGGGAGAAGGTAAGAGGGGGAGAAAAGGGGAAATAGATGTATAGGGCTGTCAGGAGCAGAGAGCAGGTACCGGGGGAAGGTCCCTGAGAAGAGGGACCCAGGTTGCTGGGGGTGTGCGCTGCGCACGGGGGTGGCGAGCTGGAGACGAGGAAGGGCACTTAGGGACGGGACCAGGTCCAGGGGTGAGTTGCAGGGCCGTGAGTTAGGAGTCACAGGCTCAGGTGGGGGTGTGGGGGTGTCATCGACAGGGTGATGGGGGGTGTTCGTGAGTGGGGACACGGTGTCAGGTGTGTGAGGGGGATGTCAGACCCAGCTGTGCAGGGCGCCGGGGACAAGGCCCCGGGGGTGTGGGAGGTGTCAGCAAGGACAGTCTCAGGTGTCTTGGGGATGTTAAGGAATAGGAACGTGGTGTCAGGTGTGCGTGGGCTGCGGGTGAGGGGCTCAGAGCTGGATGCGGTAGCCCTCAGGGGGCAGCAGACGTGGAGTGTGGGGTTGGGGGGGGGGGTCTTTAACCTCTTCCTGCCCTCGCGACGCTGCTGTCACGCTCCGCCTCCGCCCCTCGCCCCCGGGTCCCTGACAGGACCCGTGCCCCACCTCAGTTCAGCCCGACAGGCGCGGGCCCCTGACGCTTGCGTCCCCCGCAGTGTCCCCCGCGCCCCCCGCGCCCCCTCACCGGCCCGGACGCGTAGCCGCCGCCGCCGCCGCCGCCGCCGCCGCCACCGCCTCCAGCCGCCACGGCCCCGCCTCGCGCACCCCCAGAGCGCGCCACGGGAGGGGTCCACGCCACGCCCCGATTGGCTGCTTCCTAACCAATCAGCGCTGGAAAGGACAAGGATTGGCGGATATGAAGCGGATGGGCAGCCCCTGAAGCCAATCGCTGATGGGCAGAGGTGGGGCTAATTGGGAGAGGCCTTGGGTGCCCGGGTGGTCCCGCAGGGTGCTAGGTGCTGGGAGGCGGGGGCCTGGAGGCAGGCGAGGATTGGAATCTCGGTAGAAAACAGGCAGAACTGTCGGCCAATCGCTGGGGATCAAGGGCGGGGCTACGAGGAAACAGGCGCGACCGGAGGGGCAGAGGCGAGAGGAATGGAGGGCGTAGCCTGGAGGGAGACGGGGATTGACTGCGAAGGGGATTGACTGGCAGGCCCCGCGGCCAGTCGTAGCGGCCTTGGGCGGTGCGCCCCCAGGGAGGGCTGAAGCGTACAAGGTGCAGTCTGACCCGCAGCGCGGCGACCCGGCGTGGCCTCGGACGCCTGGCGCAGGGTCCCCCGAGGCTCTGGTGTAGAGTCCGCCCTCTGGCCCCCAAGCGTAGAAGCGGCTGTGAACTTGGGCCATCAAGGCTGAAGGACTCCTGGATAATTCTCCGTCCCCTTACTTCCCACTAATCCCCTGCAGACGACCACTCGCCGAGGAGAGAGAGTCGCTGGAGGTGACTCTGAGCTGCCCTCTGCAACTAGAGGTGGTGTGAAGACATGGAAATCAGGGGCGGAATCCTACTGAAATGCGCTGCGTGGTTGTCTTAGCGTCTGACTTCTCTGCGTCCAAGCTTTCCTCGCCACCGTATCCAGTGACATCCCTGTTAGGCCTTCTTCCCGCTAAGGCTTTTGTGAATTAACTGAATCTTAACCACAATCCCATGAGGTCAAAGTGACCACTGACCCCTTTTACAGAAACCAGAGCACAGAGAGGTCAAGCTTCTTTCCCGAGGTTACACAGCACTTTGGTTGCTAAACCAGATAACGAATCTAGAGCAGCTTTTTGGGAAGGGAGTGTCGGAGAAGAGCCACTGGGGGCCTCAGAGACCTGCGTTTGAATCCCCGTCCAATCACTAGCCCACCACACAACCTTGGGCAAAGCCCTTGTGAGTGTCAGCTGCTTCGTTTGGAAAACCGGCGAAAATGATTCCTACACCTTGATCTTTTCTCTCTGGGGTTGCTTCCCTGCGAAAACTTACAACCCAGCCTTCATTTTAATTATCTGGTGAAAGCATTTGATCCTGAGCAAGTCATGCGCGGCCTGGGAGCCTCAGCTCTGATGTGAAGTGTGGTTAATGGGGTTGCTTTGCAGAAAAATGCCAGCAGTTTAGGGAGACAACCGCCATCCCAGGCATGGCGGTGTCATCGGCACCTCCCCCGAGCCCACTCTGTTCTCAGACTCACCCTTAATCTTCAGGTTGGAGAGGGCAACAAATGTTTCCAGATACCAGCTCTTATTTCCTCCAGGTGCTAGGGTTGGTGGAGATCAAGTTCAGAACCTGAGAATCCTGGGAGGGAGCAAGGCTGAAACCAATCTTAAAAAGGGGCTCAGATTTCAGGGCTGTGCAAACCCTTGGTCAAAGTGTGATCCACAAGTTTCAAATGGGGACGAGGTGACTGGAAAGCACTACCCCAAGGCCATCATCAAACTCCTGATTATTCTCACGATATGCCTACCTGGACCTCCTCTCCATACCTCTCACCTCACCTGTGGCTTGCTTCCCTGCAACTTGCAGGACCTGGTCTCCATTCTGCCCTCCAGAGGAGGAAGCTGAGGTCAGCTAAACATCAACTGGGTCCCAGGTTCCTGTGGGTCTGGCTGGGCCTTTGTCCAATACCATCTCCGCCCCCCTCCCCCCGACTTCCAGGTGGAGGTGACAGTGCCAACTTAGCAGATGAGAAAACTGAGCCTATGGTGGATAATATTCCTTGGCGGAAGGACCCGGGATTGGGTTTGATTCCTTTTTTTTTTAAACATAAGAAATGGCCAGTCATGGCCACAGGACCTTCAGCAAATAACACAAGCGCCCCGCTTCAGTTTCTTGGCTATCTCCGAACGCTGATGGGAGCACTGATGAATTGGAAGTGAAGCGTTTCCAATGGCTTAGTCCACAGCAAGCACTCGTGGAAGGATGGTGATGATAAATTGTTCTTCTCTGGGCCTGTTTCTCTCTCCCTAAATAGCGCTTCATGGACAAAGACCAACTATGGGTGTGGCTTGCCACACCAAGAGGGAGCTGTCTATGCCAAGGCACCCCACCCCCCAGTGCCCACCTGCCAGGCCCCGGGAGGGGGAGGTAACAAAGCCCCTGGAAGGTCCCACAGTGCCTCCAGGGACAGAGCCAATTAAGGCAAAGGTCGGGCACTGGCCCAGCCCAGGGCCGTCTCTCTAGTTTCTGCTCATTCTTTAGCAGGCTGGCGCCGGCCAACCTACCTACCGCCTTCCAGCAAAGGCAGGCAAAGCGCCTTGGCAATAAGCAACGAACACCCCCACCACAGGCACTCATGTGAGCCCAGCTAGGGTGCCCAGGATCTTGGCTCTTCCGCTTTCGCCTGGCTGGCCCTGGATAGGACACTGCCTCTCGGCCCTCCAGTCTCCTCTACCTCTTGGGGATCCCAGGAATCTGTGAGCCAGGCCCGGGCACGGCAGCCAGGCCTAATCACCTGAGGCCAGAAAGCCTGTTGCCCAAGATTAGGTTAATGACTTTGGAAAAAGATGAGGGATGTGGAGGCAGGTTGACCTGTGTTCTCACCCCACTGCAGCCCCTCGAATGCACGTGAGTCTATTTCCTATCCGGAAAATGGGGTTCATAGTCCAGCCTCTCAGAGATGTATGTTCACAGCAGAAGAGATCTGTGTTCCTTTCCCCAGAGCCCGAGCCCATCCCTGGCTGGAGGGAGACATCCTGAACACAACAGTGACAACAACCAAGCCTGGCTGGAGTCAGAGTGGCGTCATTCACCTCCCAAGGCTCAGAGAAGTCGGGCCACTTCACCAAAAGCCCACAGCAGCAGAGGCTCGGCCTGAATGTGCTCCCGCCACCCTTTCGGCAGCTTCCCCTCAGCCCAGGTCTTGATGTCATTGAGGACAGCAAATGCTGCTTAAGAGAAGGCCCGGCACAGTGGCTCACATCTGTAATCCCAGCACTTTGAGAGGCTGAGGTAGGTGGATCACCTGAGGTCAGGAGTTCGAGACCAGCCTGGCCAACATGGCAAAATCCCATTTCTACTAAAAACACCAAAATTAGCTGGGTGCATGGCATGTGCCTGTAGTCCCAGCTACTCGTGAGGCTGAGGCAGGAGAATTGCTTGAACCCGGGAGGGGGAGGTTGCAGTGAGCCGAGATGATGGCGCTGCACTCCAGTCTGGGTGACAAGATGAGACTCTAACTCAAAAAAAAAAAAAAAAAGGGAAGGGGACAGGGAAGAGAGGGAAGAGTTGGGGGGTGTACCAGACATCCCCTGAGCTGGGCCTTGCTAGGGGCTGTGGCCCTCCAGTGGTGCAGACCTAGCCTGAGCTAGGGGAGAGGCCGATGAGGAGGCCGAGGCTCACAGAGGGAGGTGATATGCCTGAAGTGGCTGAGCGGGGATGGAAAGCCAGGCCACCAATCCCAGGGAAATGTGAGCTCTTCGGTGAGAGGCCACCACCCAGCATGAGGCTGTCCACACACGATAGCTCCATCTACTAAAGGCACCCATTTCCCTGGGCTAAGGTGGGAGGGACTGATAAGGCAGAACCACCCCTTCCTGAAGAAGCCTGCAGCTTGGCCACGGCCCAGGGAAGGATGGTGGAGCCACCTGGCAGTGACCTCGAGCGCTTTGTCAGTTTATTCAGGTGAACATTCAAAAACACTTGACGGGAAGCTGAAGGCACAGCAAGCGGGACAGGGCCCTGCCTACGGGGAGCCGGCCGATGGTGGGGGCAAGACAAACAGGAGAGTTCACAAACAAGGTGACTTCAGATGGGGCCCAGCATCAGAGCCAGAGCAGATGGGTGATGAGATGGGGGTCTCTCCCGGAGCAGGCAACGGGATCTGAAACCTGGTGCTGGGAGGAGCTGGCCACGGGGAGAGCCACGGGAAAGGCACTCTTGGCAGAGGGCACAGCTTGTCACACGGGGCTTGTGCAAAGGCCCTGGGGTGGGGGAACAGGGAGTGAGGGCAGTGCAGAGGAAAGGGTAGGAGATGGGCAGGGCCTGGACCATGCTGGGCCTGCAGGGCATGAAGTGCAGGGGTTATTTTTGGTTTTTTTTTTTTTTTTTTTGAGACGGAGTTTCGCTCTTGTTACCCAGGCTGGAGTGCAATGGCGCCATCGCAGCTCACCGCAACCTCCGCCTCCTGGATTCAGGCAATTCTCCTGCCTCAGCCTCCTGAGTAGCTGGGATTACAGGCACGCGCCACCACGCCCAGCTAATTTTTTGTATTTTTAGTAGAGACGGGGTTTCACCTTGTTGACCAGGATGGTCTCGATCTCTCGACCTCGTGATCCACTCGCCTCGGTCTCCCAAAGTGCTGGGATTACAGGCTTGAGCCACCGCGCCCGGCTTTTTGCTTTTTGATACAGGTTCTCGCTCTGTCGCCCAGGCCGGAGTGCAGCGGTGCCATCCTAGCTCACTGCAGCCTTGAACTCCTGGGTTCAAATGATCTTCCTGCCTTAGCCCAAGCTGCTGGGACCACAGGCAGGTTTGGTTTTGCGTGGAGGGTAAAGGGGAGATTGAGAGCAAGGCTGGAGCAGGAATGACAGGGCCAGCACTGCAGGCTCTCCTGGAAATAGCTAACGAGCACCTACCCTGCCACGTGATAGATGAGCAAATGTTTGAGAACTGCCCAAGGTCACACTGGCCCAGAAGTCAAATCAGGGCAGTCTGGGGCAGATTCGAGATCTTTCTCACACATCCTGGGAGTCTCCGGAGAGGAGGGACAGGGCGGAGTGACTGGGTCAGAGGTTT